AAGCCTCTAGGCTCGTCCGCTGCGATTGTCGTAGATTAAAAAAAAAAATAACGGAAAAGTAACGAAAAGTTACTTTCTCAAATAACGGTAACTGTAACGAGTTACTTTTAAAAATCGTTAACTAGTAACGGTAACTTGTTACTTTTCCTACTCGGTAACGAGTAACTGTAACTTGTTACTTTTAAAAAGTAACTTTCCATTCCCTGTATATGCACATATAAAAAATTAACGTTTTCAATATACACTATGAATACAAGATAGTAAAAATACTAAAAATAAAGCTTTTTCTCATATACCAATTACATTTATTAAATATACAATAAAAGGAATTTGAGAAAATGCAAATATATAAGAATGAGAATATTGTCAACGAAAGCTCTCAAAGCTCAGCTAGTTTAAAAAAAAACCATGCGACGACGATAAAAATTTATGTAAAATTTTTTGTGATGTAAACCTATAAATAACATTTTTGCCATGCGGACATGTATTGGCACGTGAAAAATGTGCAAAAAATATAATACAATGCAGCGTATGTCGTAGATTTGTTAAAACTACTCTATGAGTGTACATTATTTATTAGTATTTATATCCTTATGACAAATAATCTATAGATTCTGCTAAAGAATTTTCTACTTACCATCACTTTCAAGCAAAACTAAATGACATAAAGAGACAGCAAAGCATGTCTACACAATCGCAACAATCGCACAAATCTGTGATTTCACAACACGGCTCAGCACGGCTCTGCATGGCTCAGTGTAGCTCGTCATAGCTTGGAAAGTCTCTATGCGACCGTGATTTTAATCTTTTTTTATATCAATTTCGAGATCCTGTGACGAGTCAAAACCGATCACGATCAGCCATACTGAGCCATGGACCGTAGAATCCCGTCTTTATGATGCCGGCAACTTTTCATAGATTTGTTTTGAACGATTTCAAATATACCGACATTGTAACAATATGCTAGCCATAATAACGTATATATATTGTCAATAGTTTAATAACAAGATAATTGCATCAATACTATCTTGTATTATCGCAGTATAACAGCATTATTGTCTTATTTTGTATGTTATTGTAATAATATGACATTATGAATTACGAATTTTGATGATGACGATTTTAAAGTTGTAAACAAGTTGCTCGCAAGTTGCTACCCAGAGTTGTCATACCGTAAAGGTATCGAGTTGCTAACAAATGCGAACTTGGTTGCTGCAATTCTGATTATAACAACACATCTCGGATAACACACATGATCAAAAACAAGACACGTCTTAAAGACATTTTTGGAAAAGATGTCTTATATCTCGATTTTAAAAAAACCGTCTTTAAAACTTATGTCTTGATTTTGAACATTTATGAAATACTACAAAATACCTTTTACACTATATGTATTTATATACATACTATTATATAAATTAAAAAAATTAGAACCGTATTAAAATTGCTTAAAATATTATGTTCTTTGAACATGTATGGAAGTTTCTTCAACATTTTGGCATGAATCATTAACTGCATTATCAGCCAACTGCTGAGCCTTGAATAATTCGACAAGTTGTTCCGTTGCTGTGGGACCAAGTTTAACAGCTGCACCAAGCTCTTTCTACAAATAAAATGAAATATGTCATATATTTTATGAAGTTAAATACAATTTTTTTGTAACTAATTCCTTAATACAAAATTAAAAAATCTTGATATAAAATGAAAAAATCTATTTCTGGATAAAAACATAATTACATCAGGAAACTGAATCAGGTTTGACATAGGATTTCTAAAAGTAAATGGTGTCCATGGTCCCTGAATTGATGGAAATTCCGTGTGCCATAGTTTGCGTAATCTCAACAAAGGACCATTATGAAACTGCGTTCGTAACAATTCCATCCATTTTACAACATCATCCCGGTTATAATTAGCAACCTCCATCCATTGTCTATCGCCATTCACTGGAAAAATATATTCTACATTAGCACTACACTAATAAGGTTTCAAATACAGATAATGATCCATGGATGAACACAAACGTACAATATTCGGCTACTATAACTGGTTGCCTGTGCCTTCTTGGTTTAACATATACTACAACTCCTGGATTTTCTTTTGCATAATGAACTAGATCATGTTCTATAAAGCCTCTATAAAAAAAATTTAATATTGATTTAAGAAGAAAAGAAAAAGAAAAATGTTAATTTTAAATATTGCTTAAAAACATTTAAAGTGAGTATAGGTTAGAATCACCTTATTCCCTGACTTGCACCACTGTTTTTGCAAAACTTTAAAGTTATTCTCTGTAACTGGCAGACATAACGTCCGATCCCGAGACCAAAAGGTGCCCGCGGGAATCCTGATTTCAGAAATAAGTATTTATTCGACATATTGCGGCACCTAAATCAGCAGTGTGGTGCGCTCAGGTGCGCTGCACGAATGGCTATGGGCCTGCGCACAATACAGGAATAAGAATTAGATATTAAGATTTCACCTATCAGAAACCGTGTATTCCGATGTAATCAGTTTCTGATAGGTCAAAATCTTAATATCTAATTCCTATTCCTCTATTGTGCTCAGGACCTACAGGCTAGTTTAAACTGGAAACACAATAGGCACAGGCAACAGAGAATAACGAGCCGTCCAATCAGAGCTCTGAGATATAATATCGAACTTATACCCCAAAGCTCTGATTGGACGGCTCGTTATTC